TGCACGTGGCCCCCCCAGCCAGTGGTGGAGGCATCCGTGTAAACCACAGCATGCCTGGAGACCCGTTCTAGAGGCACTCCTGCCCGAAGGAACGTAAGATCTGACCACGGGGTGAAGGTTTGGCGACAGGCCGGTATAACTTGGACCCGGTGAGTGCCGCGCTGCCACACCCACCTCAGGACTTGGCCATGAAGCCAGTGCTGGAGCAGTCTCATATGAAGCAGCCCCAGCGGCGTAACTGCCGCTGCGGCTGCCATATGCCCCAGGAGCCTCTGAAACCAGTGCCGAAGCACCAGATCCCTGTGCTCGCACAACTGAACCCGAGACTGTGCTAGTATAAGCCAATCGTCGAGATAGTTGAGGATGCGAACACCCTGCTCTCTGAGGGGAACAAGAGCCCCCTCCGCGACTTTCGTGAAGACACGGGGAGACGGGCTTGTACTGGAATGCACGTCCCTCGACCATGAACCACAGAAATGGTCTGCTGGGCAAAGCTCTCGAAGAGGCCTGTCTGGGACACAGGGGCTTTAAGGAACCGAACCTTGTCGGCATCCCTCATGTTGGCCAGACACAGCCAGAGATGGTGCTCCTGCCAGAGATGGCGCTCCTGGACCACAAGCGTGGACATCGCACGACCCAGAGAACTCGCGGTGACCTTTGTCGCTCGGAGCGCGAGGTCAGTGGCGGATCGGAGCTCTTTCAGAACTTCCGGATCGTGACCGCCCTCGTGCAGGTCCTTCAGTGCCTTAGCCTGGTGCACCTGCAGTAACGCCATAGCGTGTAAGGCGGAAGCAGCTTCCCCGCAAGCCGTATAAGCACCGCCGGTCAGACCAGACGAATGCATACAGGCCCGGGAAGGGAGCAACGGGTCTCCCCGCCAGGAGGAGGCAGTCTTAGGACACAACTGCATCGCTACTGACCGCTCCACTGGGGGATCGCCGAATACCCATAACATTAAAAAAACTTGTAAAACAAAACAGTTGTCTTAATGTGCTGATTAATCATGTATTTTTGTGTAGTTGTCATGTAGTTTTGTGGTTTGTATTTTCCAGGCCGTATGTCTATGCTGTCCACTCAGAGCAGCCGGATACATACGAAAGCCGTATAAGCACCGCCGGTCAGACCAGACGAATGCCTACAGGCCCGGGAAGGGAGCAACGGGTCTCCCCGCCAGGAGGAGGCAGTCTTAGGACACAACTGCATCGCTACTGACCGCTCCACTGGGGGATCGCCGAATACCCATAACATTAAAAAAACTTGTAAAACAAAACAGTTGTCTTAATGTGCTGATTAATCATGTATTTTTGTGTAGTTGTCATGTAGTTTTGTGGTTTGTATTTTCCAGGCCGTATGTCTATGCTGTCCACTCAGAGCAGCCGGATACATATGGACACATCCTGGGTCCGCTGAGCAATGAGGTGAAACCCACACACACACAGAGACTTTGATTAGTGCGTGAGACATTTAGAGGAGTGTAAATATGACGTGTGTGTGTGTGGCAGCTGGATAACACTCTCAGGAAGATCGATAACATCATCGGTCAGCTGATGAACGGCCTGAAACAGATGAACCTCCATCGCTGTGTGAACGTCATCCTGGTGGGCGATCATGGTACGGCTGCACTCACACACGTGACGCATCACGTGATCTCTGATGTTCTAGTCCTCTCAAACAGACTCAGATCCAACACCCTAATTTAAATGGACTTCTCACAGCAAATGTTCAGTGTCTTTGTGTGTTTGTGTGTGTGTGTGTGTGTGCGTGCGTGTGTATGCGTTCAGGAATGGAGGAGTCTCATTGTGAACGAACAGAGTATTTGAGCTCTTACGGACTGGATGTTGATGCTATCACACTGATCCCAGGATCCTCTGGAAGAATCGGCCCCAAAAACGCCAACTCACCATGTGAGTACACACGTTTATCTCACTTAAAGAGATAGTTCACCCAAAAATGAAAATTCTGTCATTATTTACTCACTCTCAAATTGTTCCAAACCTGTATGAGTTTCTTTCTTCTGATGAACACAAAAGAAAATATTCTGAAGAATGCTGGGAACCAAACCGCTGCTGGTAGCCATTGACTGTCACAGTATGGAAAAATGATGACAGCATTTTCGTTTTAGGGTGAACTATCCCTTTCAATGTGGTAATGAAGTAGTTTACACCCTGCATATACACAAACTCTAAAAACATACATTTCACTTACATGTGTACTTCTAAAACCTTCACACAGCTGATTTCAGTGCCTTGTTTCTTCATGTTTCAGATGATCCAAAGGAGATTGTAGCTAATTTAACAGTAAGTCCATCAATCGCATCCTTCAGACAGACTCACTGTTGTGTTTGTACATGGTGCTGCATTTGACCTTTGACCCGTTTCCAGTGTAAGATGCCCAATCAGCACTTCAAGCCATACCTGAAGCAGCACCTGCCCAAACGCCTGCATTACGCCAACAACAGACGCATCGAAGACGTGCACTTGCTCATGGACAGGAAGTGGCATGTGGCGATGTGTGTATCACTGTGTGTGTGTGTGTGTGTGTGTGTATCTCTGTGTGTGTGTGTGTGTGTGTGTGTGTGTAGCTGGGATATGGGCGCTTGGTCCGAGTGCAGTGTTTCCTGTGGCTGGGGTGTGCAGCAGCGTCACATACAGTGCAGGCAGAGTTTTGGGAATCGCTCAACCATGGTTCACCCTCAGCGCTGCGCCAGTCTCACCCGCCCCAACGCCACGCAGCCCTGCTTTGTTACTAGTTTAAGTATTTGCTATTGACTGTTCAAATGCGGAGTTTTGCGCATCGTGTGTGTGTGTGTGTGCGCGTGTGTGTGTGCGCGCGCGCGTGCATGCATGCGTGCGTGAGTGAGTGTGTGTGCGCTGTAGGCATAGTTTAAGACACATTCACATCTAAAATTAGTCAAATCTGACACAAATTCATTAATTTATTCTAGTTATATATATATATATATATATAGAGAGAGAGAGAGAGTGAGATGTGACTTTAGTGATGTTTGATATGTGTTTGAGAGCAGATCTCCTGCTACCTGCGGCTTCTTTGGAGATCATGGCTTTGACAACAAGATCAGCAGCATGCAGGTAAATCAATCAATCAATCAGTCAATCAATCTGTACAGGAATCTGTCCATCAGTCCGTCTTCTCATTGTTGTGTTTTTCTCGCAGACGATCTTTCTGGGATTTGGACCGGGCTTCAATTTTAAGACAGAAGTGCCTGTTTTTGAGAACATCGAGCTGTATAACGTCATCTGTGGTGAGAAAATGCTGCCGGGTTTCTTAAAATAGTTTTAGTTTATGAGAATCGTGACAGATTCATGCAGCATCTGTGTGTGTGTGTGTGTGTGTGTGTGTGTGTGTGTGTG